AAGTTCATATAAATTGTTTTGTTAAAATTGTTAAAAAGGGCCAATGAAAAATCTATCCGTCGGATTTAGAGGCCTCCCCATTTTAAAAGACGGAAATCTAATTAAAGTTTATATATATTTTTAGTAGTTGAAATTGGCCGATGAAGAAATTACCGTTGATTTCCAAGGCCTACCATGTTAATAAGACGGATTTTTATTTTTAGGTTATTATTTGAGTTATTCATTTTTAATCATATTTATTCTTTACTAACACTTTTATTAAGTGTGTTTACAGGTACCCAAAACTTGCTTCCTTGAAGCCATTCGAAAAGCTCGAATTATATTTTATTTTATTATTTCGTAAATATTGACGTTAGGCAAATCTTAGGCCGATTATTATTTTGTTTTATTTTGAATATTGCATGTTTATTATATCTGTACATTATTATACATTCTTCCTCAATTTGAAAAAAAAATGAATTCAGTCGGGAACCACATTTGTGGATTCCGAAGGGTGCCTAACCCCTTCCCTTCGGAATAACTTAAACCCTTTACCTAGAATCGAATTGGTTTCGTAGATTAATAATTGGTTTCCTAGTTTTCCTAAAATTAGGTGGCGACTCTTTTTTAGAACTCGATTATTTTTTAAACTTTGTTAAAATTGAATCAATTAATTATTTTCTAAGCTGCCGCGACGTTTCGACCTATTCCGACAGAGTAGGGATGTAAACATTAATGACAAAGATTCAACATTTTATATGTAACCAAAAATAATTTGTTTTTTGCTCTATTTACCTTGTATAATATTTTAGTAAAGGGAACTTAATCAAAACCTCTTGTCTTCCTTTTAATTATATAAAATCAATGAATTTGGTAGTTTGGTAGGACTATTTAATTTGTTGGCACTTGGTAGACAATGGTCTCACAATTAAATAAGTTTGTAAGTTATGATTAGATCATGAAACAAAGTTGGTGATACAAATTTTTCCTTCTTTATCTCTTTATTATTCTTTTTTTTTTCAATTACTCCACTTTGTTTGGCAAGGGGTTGATGAAAAAGTAAACACCAAGAAAAAAGAAGAAGAAAAAATCACACTTTGTGACCCCATTTCAAAACAAAGCAAAGCCAACCGTTCGAAAAATAAGAATATAGTGCTTAATATTTGAATTTAAAATCTAAAAGAGAAGAATTCCAAGTCCCTTCATTCACTAAGTCAATCTCTTGTACTTTATTTAGGAGGTTAAAAATATGTAAATAAAAAAAAGAACTTTAAATATAGGGGAAAATAACAAATATACCTCCCAAATTATCGTAAATGATATACAAATATCCTTCGTCATATTTTTAAACATTGGTGATCCTACCGTAAAAAAAAACTAGAGCAAATATACCATTTATACTAACGGACATACACGTATCATAATCTTATCCACCGACCTGACATTTATTAAATATCGGATCAACGAATAAGATTGTGCCACATGTTCCTATTTAGTCTCCCGTAGAGTGAAGAACATATATGCTCTAATTTTTTAACAGCAGGGACACCCAAAAATAAGATAGTGAATACCCTTTGTTACCCATCTAGATCCCTTAAGGCGAATACTCATCATTCTTAATCAGCAATTTCATATTTGAGTCTTGAATATGAAGTTAATATTTTACTTTTTTATCTAAAACTTCTCGACACAAATTTAAATCTAATCGAAACCTCAATACAAATTAAGCGTTTTACCTTTAACATGAAACTTTCCGATCACAAATTCAAATTGAGTCCGAACTCTTATAATGGATGGTAAAGATAGAAGCAATAAACAAAAAAAAAGTTAAAAAGAAAAGATAGCTAGCTGTCCACTGCCTTTTGCCTCCTCTCTATACTTTTTCTTTTAAAAAAACTTCACTCTTCCAAACACAATTTCAAAACAAACAAACATCATTCTTCTTATTGTTCATCAAATCTCAAACATTTTCAAAAAAAATTCAAACTATACATTCAACATGAAAGGTATTAGAAAGTGTAAAGAAGCTCCTTCAACAGATTTATTAGTCTGTTTTCCTTCAAGAGCTCATCTAACACTTATGCCAAGTCCAGCTTCTCATCATCACCATTTAAAAAGATCAAATACAAGAGGTATTGGACCTGCTGGCCAAGCTAGCCCTATGTTATGGAAGAGGACAGAGATATCTGAGCCTACGTCTCCGAAAGTTACTTGTGCTGGACAAATCAAAGTAAGACACAAACCGAAATCATGTAAGATCAAGAATTGGCAATCAGTGATGGAAGAGATTGAGAAGTTACATGTTAAGAAGCAAAAAAAGAAAAAACTTGTGTGGAATATGGAAGGCGTTGGGTTCAAGAAAGACGCGATGCAGTTGTTGACATGTTTGAGGAATATAAGGTTTGATTTTCGATGTTTTGGATCGTTTCATAACGATGAAACAGATGTCATTACTTCTGATGATGATGAGGATGACGACGAAGATGATCAGGAGGGTGAAGATGAACACGACGATGAAGCGAAAACAGCATCGAGAACTGTTTTCTCTAAGTGGTTTATGGTTTTACAAGAAAACCAAAAAACAGAGGAAACAGAGCATGCCAAAAAAACAGAGGAAACAGAGTACTCTGTTTTTAGTCATAATGATGCTCCACCACCAAACGCACTTTTGCTTATGCGTTGTCGTTCTGCTCCAGCAAAAGGTTTGCTGGAGCAGAAACATAAAGACAACGACAGTGATTATGATCAACAAAAGAATGAAAAATCAAGAACGGAGAATAATATGAAGAAAAGCTTAGTAGTGATGAGATATGGAAGTGATCTCTACAAATTTTCATCTGATATATCAAAAGAGAATTGGGTTGTAGATGGAATTAAAGATCCATTTTCAAGAAGTCGAAGTTCGAAGAGGTAATTAACATTCATGATGATCAAATTTCAAGGTCATTTCTCTTTGGCCAATATAACAGGATCAATAGTGTTCACACTTATCTTTCAGTGTGAATCGAATGTTCAACCTATCGATCAACTTACCCTTCGACATGACTTGAATCGTCAACCTATCGATAAACGATGGAGATATTCAACCACTAGAGCTAGCTTCTTTTGGCCAAATATCCCCACTTTTGTTCTCAATTTTTTTTTTTTTTTAAGTTTCTTCAAATACTAGTAGCATTTACATTTTTGATGTTTGAATTTATCTTTTTGTGATGTGTACGTAGATGTGTAATTTTTGTATAGGGTTTTTTACTCAAACAATATACAATCTTGAGATATATTTTTAATGGAGAAGATTTACAAATGTTGCTTTATGTGTTTGGACATTTTTATTTAATTTTATGTATCTTAAGCAGGATTCAGTATTTAAGTTCTATGAGTTTAATTTTTCATATTGAATCTACTATACTTTTAAAGATTCGGATTTATCTTAGTAGGAGTGTTTGTTGTAATGTTTGGTATATTTTTCCATATAATCTTATACACTCTACTTCATAAAATAATATCGAATTCAAATGAATCTAATGTTATCATAAGGTTTCTACGGATATATGTCTTAATGCGCTAACTTATGTATGGTCTAACATTTTGAACATGTTAGACGATTAATAAGCGTTATTATTTTAAATTATATTTAACGGTAAAACTTGAATTCGAGATCTTTTGTTACGGCAGTGTGTAGCTTTTATGTTAAGTGCAGAAAATCTTCAAAGAGAAAATGCCCTACAAACAATAGTAGGGATATAATGAATGATTCATCATTGGTAAAATTTAAAAAATTGATGATGAAAAACGTTTTATTCGTTGAAATTTAATATTGAAAAAAGAAAAAGAAAAGGAATTATGACTTTGAAGAAGCTGACAAGAAATTTAAACTTCACACTTCTTTTTTTTTTTCAAATTAAAGTCACATTATTAGTTTGACGTAAAGAATACGTGAAGTATTATATGAGAAGAAAAGTTTTTTTTTTTTAACAAAAAAGAACTATAATTCAAAGTATATCACAATATTTATATGACTAAGAATTTTTTTTTTATCTATTTTAAAGATATAATGACATTCTTATAAGTTATATTTATATAAATTTTCATATCACATAAAATGTATTAAAGGGAGAATGAATAACAATATTTTTAGTGAAATCTTGAAAAGTGGAGTTTGATGAGTGTACAATGTACTCAAATCTTATCATTGTCTTGTGCAAGGTACACATGTTATTTTCGAAAGATTATTGGCTCAAGTGCATCAAATGAAGTAAAAGAAAAGGGAATAACAAAAATTAACTATGTTTCAATCTCTAACAAATTGAATTTAACTACTCCTTCTATTTCGATGAATATCCGTTTTTTTTCTAGATATTAAGAAAAATAAAAGAATTTGAACTTAACTACTCCCTCTATTTCAATTTATATCAGTTTTATAATAAGATAGGGAGTTTAAGAAGATAAAAGAAATTTTAGAAGGAAAAATAGATACTATTTTAATTCATATCAGTTAAAAGAAATTTTAGAAGGAAAAATAGATACTATTTTAATTCATATCAGTTTTTTAATTTGATACGGAGTTTGAGAAAATAAAAGAATTTTTAGACAAAAAATAAATCACGCCCAGTGGGACTCGAACCCACAATCGCTTGATTAGAAGTCAAGCGCCTTATCCATTAGGCCATGGGCGCTGTTGTTTAATAAAAGATAACCAAATGTATTTATATTATTTACTAACATGACTTTTCCATTAATAAGTACACTCTCCTTGCTAATTATTTAGAAGCATCATTATTTTATTGCATACCAAAAGAGAAAAACAAATTAAAATTAATTTTGAATATGACATGATATTTTGTAACTATAATATACACCATCAAGAAAAGAATAAAAAATGAAAGTTTAAGTGTCTATTTGTGTACATTTAAAGTTGAAGGGTATAAATGTGATTGAAGCGAAGTTAAAGAGTATATTTATGTATTGTGCCTTTTAAGAAATTTGATTTATATCAATAAGTTTTAAAAACTATGTTTGTATTACATGACACATGACTTTGTTACTCTAAGCCGATTATTCATCATTTTCATCAATAATCATATCATCACTTTAGTATTTACTGAATATTTCATCACTACTTTGATATTCACGTAAAAAATTATGCAAAAAAACATAAACAACTACTATAAAGAGTGTATTTATAAAAGATAAAAAATTGATATACAATTTTAATTATTAAAAATTTTCAAATAATGAGACTTGATCCAAATACTAAAAATTTCTAATATTTAACATTTAAATTATTTGTATGTCAAATAATAACAAATTATATGACAAACAATATTCACCAATGTTCTTCCTAAATTTTACTTCGAAAATCTATGGTCAAACGATCCATAACATATACAATGTATGTACATGATCTTGTCATTCAAAAGCAAAGAAAATAATGGTAAAAGGAATGTTTGGTGGTCGTAATTATGACTAATTATTATGTCTCTCTTTATTATCCTCATAGTACTGCTGGTCCTACTCCTATATTGGATTGGTAATTAAGGGTAAATTAGTAAAATTACTAATAATTGATAATTAAGGGTAAATTAGTAAAAATTATTAATAATTGGTAATAAAGGGTAAATTAGTAAAACATACTAATATTTTATCTATTTTATTTGTTACTTTTACTTTTTTTTGTCTATCTAAAATATATAGCCGTTCTTTAGTTCTAACATTTTTACATAATTAAAAGATAATTTAGCACATTTAATATATTATTATTTTTATGCCATAAGATAAAATATATTATTTATTTCTTAAATATTGTATCAAGTTAAAACACATAAATAATTTAAAATGGAGTGAATACCTCTTGGAGTTTTTAAAAGGCGTGAATTTTTTTTTAGATAATTAATATGAGGTGAAGAGAGTTTAACATATATTTTATCTCTATTACTAATAAAAAACAAAATCATTTGAACTCATTTCAAATCCGTTGATTTTTCAAAAATAGTTCTAAGATTATTGACCAAAAAAAAAGGTAAAAGTTTTACCTCTTTTGAGATTGCAATCATAAACAATTAGGCCGTTGATTCTAATTTATATGACATTTTTCGGATTTTGAAATTTAAATAATTTTTTTTATTGTAACTTTTTTATTAATATTTTAAATATTTTGAATTATCAATTATTGACTTATAATATTTTTTATGTAGTTTACAAACACATAAAATTCATTTCAAAAAATTTGAAGATTCCTTATACAAATTCCTGATCAAATTTAAACTATTTGACTCTCGAAAAACAAAAAGTGTCACATAAATTAAGACGTAGAAGGAGTATATTACAGACGGATGGTTCTTAAATATTACAGTAATTTAGTATAATTCTAATTGATTTTATTATATATATATATAACAATATTAATATATTTAGTGTAATTTTTACAAGTGAAGGTCTGAAAAGATTGTGCATATAGGACTTTACTCGTACTGTGTGAAGATATGAATATTATCTCCAATAGACCATCAATTTAAACGAAGCATATAGATCATATAGAAAATCATGTAAAAAACAATTATAACCACAAAATAGTATGATAAATTAATCAAGGAAAACAACAAAGTAATACTAATATTGATAAGAAAATTTAAGTAGCACTCAACCAAGGGCATAACTACATGGAGCATTTCGAGTGCTCGAGCATCCATCTGACTTCAACAATTTTTTTTCTATCTATTGAGAAAATGTGAAGAAATAGATATAAAATATAAATAAGCACCCACTTAACAAAGACTACTAGTGGCTGCTTTGGTTCTGTCCATAGGTCACGAGATCGACTCTTTTTAGGAGATTTTTTTCTAAATTGCACCTATTATTTCAATTGAATTTTTCCATGTTCTCTCCTTTTTATTTTTTTGATATGTAGTATCATTTACCTTTTAAATCTTTTTTATTTCAAAAAAAAATTTGGTCTCTTTTTCTTTAGTGTAATCCGTGATTATAGGTTATTTTTTACGATGATAAATTAAGTGTCATCTTATCATGTACTTTTTAATTGACGTGCTCGAGTTTCTATATATTTATATTTTGCGACCACTAATGATTTTATGTTAAAGAAAGTTAGCGAGTATGAAAATAAGAATTCGAGCATTCACTTTATCGAAAAACAGTCTGACTCAATAAAAAAGGAAAAAGCTTCAGAATCTTCTCGGGAAGCTTGCCAGTGGCCAAGATAACGAATTGCTTCCGCAGAAAGGCAAGAAAATATGCTCGAGAATACACACTTGATAATTCATGAAGATTGAAGAGCAGTGAGCACCACGACCTTCAAATCCTAAATCCACCACTAATTGAACTATCATTGTCGTCATTTTGTCGAGTATGTCCTCATTTTATATCCTATCTCTCCAACTTTAACCTCATATCCATCTCAACATTCTTATATTCACAACTAATTTCTATTAAACACGTCAATTTTTCTATTTTTCCTAATATAATTGACTCAAGATTGTTGAAATTTTCTCTTTATTGGAGATGACTTTGAGTGTTAGTAATATTTATATTTCACATATGTGAAATAAGTTCATTTCATATACAAATTCTAGGGCTTGTATAAAGGATCAAATTTGATACAACTCTAATATATGTTCAATTTTTTTTTATCACTATTGTTACACCAGCCAAATTCCGAAGATAAATCAAGTCTCTCCACCGGAGATGAGAACGATAGACGGCGGTATTATTCCTATTTCCCGCAGCTTTAAAGGTGAGATTTTGAATTGATCAGGTACAAGTTTAACAAAACCAATACCAATTTTTGTTATTTATCACTCTGTAACCTAGATTTTTGATATCAAATTCATTGAAATTGCTAGATATGAAGGATTCTATCAACAACCCTAAAAGGGTAAGCTTTTGGATTTGAACCTTAAAAGGTAATTCAAATTCATTGAAATTGCTAGATATGAAGGGTTCTGTCAACAACCCTAAAAGGGTAAGCTTTTTGGATTTGAACCTTAAAAGGTAATTCTAAGTAGCCCATGCTATTTACATATTACTATTATTGTTATGTAAAATGTATTAAGAGCCTTGATTGTATTTTATTAGTTGTTATTGAAGAATTGGGGGAATTGGGGCTTTTACTAATACCACCTTTACGACATTTTCTCTCTATCAGTGACCAGTTATATAGCCTCCCGGAAAGTGGTGAATTGTTTTTTTATCAGGGGTTTGAAACCATCGGCAACAGCATTCAAAATACTGTTGTTCAAACCTTATGCCTTGAGGATCCATTACTTTGATTTGGGTAATGGGATAATGAAATTGATCTCAATTAGCAAGGGAGCATAAGAAATCCTTTTAAGCTTAGTTGTACAATCAGCAACACATATAGGTGTTCGTAGCACACTAGCAATCCTGCTTAGGGACTTAGGACCCCAACAACTAAATAGAAGATTGAGGAACGTCACTATAGACGGATAACTTTCAATACCTCATCCTTAGAATTGAAACTGGCTACCCAAGGTTTAACAGCAGACTTAGACTTAGTATTGATCATGTGAGGGCCAAAACTAAGTATCTCTATCTTTTATTGATTGGAATTCACAATATAATAACCCTCATTGTGATAATAGACTCTAGCTTTTTGAGTGAATTTACCGTTGCTTTCAAGGAATCTAGCTACAATTGTTATAGTTGGGGAATCCCAAATAATATATAGGTACAATGGCAAAGGGTTCATGTCAGCCGAAATATTAATTCCCTTCAACACTTGATACATCTTATTTGTACATTCATTGACCCAATTCTTTTTCTTTACCTTATGTAATTGTTTCTCCAATTTCTCAGTCCTTAGCTTCGTCAACTCTTCTCCCGTCATCATGTGTTTTGATTGATCTAACACCGAAAGTTACTAAACCTTTTACAGGTATTGAATGCATTAGCATAATTTAAAAACAAATCAGGTTGGTTTTGCTAAGGACTATAGACAATTATAGTCATTTTAACACCACAAAGCGTAGTGAGTTCATAAGCCTTTTTAAATAACCCTTTCAATCTTAACTTGCAAGAGACTTTCCTCTTGGCCTTATTTTCAATCAAAGCAAAGTTCACTTTGGTTCTGGGCATGGCTAAAGATGAGGAATAGTAGAAGATATGTGTTTGTTTGGATATTCAAGATCAAATAACTTTGTTGTGGTGAGTTTCTTTGTCTTGGATTGATTTTTATTGATAGACGGAATTTAGATTGTGTAAATCTCTGAATAGTTTGAATTAAAAGATATTTAGGTGCCACCCATAACTATTATGACATAAAACTAATTAATGGTGCATCATATACCAAATTAGATGATATGTTTTTGATAAATATGCAGTCTATGGCTTCGGTCTTATCCAGACCAATTTCTTAGTCAGACTTTTCTTATTAAGAAAATAATTTAATAATTTAAGAAAACTTTTCTTATCCTGAACAAATATTGAATATTTTCTTAATAAGAAAAGTTTGACTAAAAAATTGGTCAGGAGAAGACGAAGCCATAAACTGCATATTTTTCAAAATGATATATCTAATTTGGTATATGATGCCCCATTAATTAGTTTTATGCCATAATAGGTATGGACGACACCTAAATATCTTCTAATTCAAACTATTCAAAAATTTACACAATCTAAATTCCGTCTATAAATAGAAGTCAATCCTAGACAAAGAAACTCACTAAATAAAGCCATTCAATCTCGAATATCCAAACAAACACATATCTCCTACTATTCCTCATCTTTAGCCATGCCTAGAACAAAAGTGAAGTTTGCTTTGATTGAAAATGAGGCTAAGAGGAAAGCCTCTTACAAGCAAAGATTGAAAGGGTTATTTAAAATGGCTTATGAACTCACTACACTTTGTGGTGTTGAAATGGCTATAACCGTCTATAGTCCTTACCAGATTCAACCTATTTTGTTTCCAAATAATGCTAACGCATTCAATACCTTTAAAAGGTTTAGTGAGCTTTCGGTGTTAGATCAATCAAAACACATGATGACGGGAGAAGAGTTCACGAAGCAAAGGACTGAGAAGTTGGAGAAACAATTACATAAGGTAAGGAAAGAAAACAGGGTAAATGAGTGCACAAATAAGATGTATCGAGCGTTGAAGGAAATTGATATTCCTGCTGACATGAACCCTTACGATCTGAACGATTTGAGTTTCGTTATAAAACAAAACCTCAAACAGGTATGTGAAATGATGAAAGCGAAGATTGACGGAGAGGGTTCCACATTAAATGCCCGTCAACCTATGGTACCTCATGGGACCAACTCTGAGGAGCCAAGGGCTCATTTGCTAGAAAAAATTAGGGCTCCAGTATCAATAGTTCCTTTGGTGGCTCCATCAACTGCTATTGGTGCAGCCAACTTCGAAGGGCTTAGTACTGATATGTTGGTCCCTGTTGTTGATCCAATATCGATGGTTCCTCCGGCGGATCCATCGATGGTTCCTCCGGCGGATCCATCGATGGTTCCTCCGGCGGATCCATCGATGGTTCCTCAAGCGGATCCATTGATGGTTCTTCAAGCGGATCCATTGATGGTTCCTTCATCCGCTCCTGCTCAAATGCCCAAACCATTGAGTAATCTGATGGATCCTCTCGTAAAATCTTCAAGGTCTTCTCCTCCTCCTTTTTCTCCATTTTCTTTAGAAAATTTCCCTGAAATGTTTGTACAATCGTATCCTCCATTACCTCAAGAAATGGCTTTTAGAAGGGCTCCTAGAATGGCTCCTCCAACAAAAATGGCTTCTCCAATACCTTCAACAATAATTACTCCTCCAATGGCTTGCTCGGAGCCATCGACGGCTTCTTCATCCGCTCCCGTTCAGATGCTCGAACCAAGGACTCCTCAACCGGTTCCTTTTGTAGACCCTTCGAGGTTTCCTCCGCTTCCTCTCTCTCCATTTTCTTTAGACATGTTTCCTCCAATGTTTCCCCAATTGTATCCTCCATAACCTCAAGAAATGGTTTTTAGAAGGGCTCATGAAATGCCCCCTCCAATGCATCCAACAACAATGGCTTTTCCAATACTTTCACCAATAATGGCTTCGCTGGTTTTCGAGAGTCCAACATTATCTGATGCTGGTCGGAAATTATGATGATGATGTAATGCTTTAATTAATGATCCAAACCACCACAACAATTTATAAGGATCTAGGACTAATATGTCTCTTTTAATTAGCATTGTTTTGTAGGTTCGTGTTGTCCTGTGGACTATTTGTGTTATTTGCTGTTTTCCATGTTTAAGTTGTGTTATAGGACTCTTCATATCTCTTTCCATGTGTCCTCATTTGAAGTGTCTATTGTTGTTTTCTTTTTCTTGTTCAAAGTGTGGTATCATTCACTTATTAAATCTGTATTCAGTTTTTTTTAATGTTTACTAGATACTCGTATGTTTATTTGTTCCTTTATTACTATTATTGAAAATGTTATTGTTAGTATGGTTTTCAAAAATGACCTCTTCCACTTCAAAAATCTATCATCAGTGTACATATCGGGTAAATATTCATGCTCAAAATTTCCTTTTTAAACCAATACAGCAACATAAACATACCCAACATAGTTCCACTAAGTGGGAAAGTGTAAAATCATAACACATCTAAAGTTGAGAATGAATTAGAAAGTAAAGAAGATTATTGTAAAGACCTATTATACATCCATGTAATGGAAAAATAAAGTCTAAAATAGTGTCTGTTTTAAAAAATCAAGATATAATTAATTATTTGTTTCTTCTTGTAAAGAAATGGATCTTGGGCCTAATCCAAAAGCTAGCTCTTAAGGGAGGATTATTCAAGTCTATATAAGGAAACCGCCATTTCTTTTTCATCCGATTTGGGACTTGAGCAATTAAATCTAGGGACCCATCATAGGTAAACAATAATAAGGATGGTTCCTGCTCTAGTACCATGTAAGAAATGGATCATGGGTGTAACTCAACCTAAGAAATGAGCTCTTGAGGGAATATTGCCCAAGTTTATATAAGGAAACCACCCATCCGTTTTTCATCCGATTTGGGACTCTTTAATACCCGGTTCACACCCAAGACTAGACATCCGATTATCTGTAGTATCTATGATTAGTTTCCTTCAATATATATATTGGGTTGGTACTAATATTAGTTTTACAAAAACAATAATAATTACTATGTTCCAGTTTCGAATTAGTGGGTAGTCATCCATATGAGTCTTCACTTCTTCATTCAAGCTCATTTGTATCCTCATCATATAAAATAAACTAAAATAAAATAGAAGTAAAAAATAAGTTGGATAGTTATAGCAATTCTCTAACAAGTTTTTTGTAGCCGACTTTTTGCCTGTAAGAACACCCTCTTCACTTCCTCATCCTCTGGAATTTCTTGTATTAACATTTCACAATCTTGAATAGCTGCTTTCCATCTTCCCAACTGCATATATCAACCAAAACTTTATGATATATACCTTGTGTGATCACATCATCTAAAATCTTAAGCGATTAGTGAGGGTTGGCACACTTCTATTTACCTAATTAATTATGTCTTCAACAAATTACCTTGATGTTGCAGTCAGCTCTCCGCAATCTAGCCTTTGTATAGGAAGGACGCAGTACAAGAGCTGCAGTGCAATCTTCCACAGCTTTTTCGAATTGTCCTAGCTTGAATCGACATGCTGCTCTGTTAAACAGTAGAATAGAATTGTATGGCTCTTGTTCTAGTCCTTCAGTGTACTCGAAAGAAGCCTCTGAGAATTTATTTTCTCTGAACAACTCGTTACCTTTTAACCGAAATGATGCCAACGCTTCAATTCTCCTTAGAATTGTGATAATTACTTCATTGCTTTGATCCAATTTTGTTGCTTCTTGAGCTGCAGCTGTAGCCTCCTCAAACCAGCCAACTGTTGCATAGGCCTCAGCTCGAGTGATCAATAAATAAGCTGTTTTTACTGAACCAAAAAGGCAAGCACATAGCTCTGTTTTGATATGAGCTACTTTCTGAATTGTGGTGTATGCTTCCTCGTGTCTATGCAACTTTATTAATGCTTCAGCCCTCATGGCAAAGATCTTCATTTGAAATCAAGTCAAAGGAATAAAAAAATAAGAATCTTTAAACATCGAATTTTCTTTATAATAATTTGTACATTAGGGATGGACTATAGGCCTCATTTTCCCCCATTAAGATTACAACATGTGAATCTATATGCACATCTAAATGATTAGGATGTTGTCTTTAGATTTGAATACGGAAGGATTAATATCGTGTTTTTCGACATGTGAATGAACATATTATATTTATTTGTAAACATAATAAATAGACAATAAATCAATTAGTATATTTTTAAAAAATTAATTTAATTATTTTTTTTTATCTGATTAAAAAATGAAATATTTATGTTAGCTAATGATGATGGTAACGGTCTGTGGTGGTTGTGATAGTGGCAATAATATCTTCACTAAATATTTATGTACGCTCTTGTTCTAGTCCTTTAGTGACTATGAATGGTGGTGGTGATAGTTATTATGGTGGTCATTGGTAGTGGTGGTTGTGATGGTGAAGATGGTTGATGGTGCCAATGATGGCGGCTAAAGAATGTATTGGTGGTAGTTAACGGCGGTGCTAGTTGTTATGCTTGGTTATAAGAATTGACCGTCATGGTGGTAGTGGCTGTTAGTTGTGGTGGAGTTAGCGGCAACAATGGCACTAATGGTTGTGGTTGTGGTAGGTGGTAGGTGTGCTAGTTGTGATGGTGGAGTTGGTTGGTAGTAGGAGTTAGTCGCAGTGGTGGTGGGATAGATATAATTGTAGTAATGGAGGTGACAGGTGTGGTATTGGCTGACAATAGTGGTGATGGTGATGACAGAGGTGGTTGGTAGTTGATGACGATAATGGTAGTTTACAATGGTGGTGGTGGTTGTGATGGCAAAGGCGGTTAGTGATAGTGAAGACTTTGTTCAAGATCTTAATGATTAAGACCTATACAAACCAATTAGGTGCTTAAATCTTAATGAAAACAAATACGCTTAATGGCCTAATATCTGAACCATATACATTAAGACCTCCACCAAGTACTAAAGAATGAGGCTTAGTTGTAGTGAAACCTGTGGAGCTGAATCTACTCCTAAGGTGATAGAATTTTGTGTTTCCTTTATCAATGTATTGTAATCTCTCAGCTTCTGTGCTTCTGTGCATTTTAAGAGCTGTCTCTTAATATCATGAGCCTCTGCAATGTCCTTCTTGTCAACTTTTCGCCCTGATTGTTTGTAATGATCTATCGCTTTCTCTGCATCTCCCAGCCTGTCGAAATGAAAAAAGAAATTGACTACATCAACCAAATTCAGACAAAATCATCTAAAGAAAAATAATTGACGATTCAAAAAGACTAACCTAACGTATAGTCTTGCAAGACGATAATGTGCATTGTGATAAGAAGGGTCTAGCTGGATAGCCTCTATACATGCAACAACTGCCTCAATCACGCGGCCTAAACTCATCAAAGCTGCAGCCTTGTTGCTATAGTAACTAGCATTTCCTGGATCAATTGCAATTGCTTGATTGTACAGATCCAATGCCTTCTCAATTTTCCCCTGTCTATACTGCTCATTGCCTATGGACTTGAGCACATCAGGGTCCCGTTTTTTTGCAGAACCGCGAAACGAACTACCTGGTTGATGGCTTTTTACAGAACTAGTTTGCCTTACTATGTTATCCTTCAAGATTTTGCCTTTCTTCTGGATAGCCTTTTTGTCACTTGAGGAATTTTGGTTCTTCAAGTTTCCCAAGTGGCTTAGTAGTGTAACATTGCTTGTTGAACTGCGATTCAATGTTCCATTCACCTTGGATTTTCGATGACTAAAGATTGTCATGCTCAATTCACTTGAGGTGAATGTTGGTTCTCTTCTAAGCTTTTGTGTGTATGCCAAGTTCACAACTTGTGACACTCTGTTCTTACTAGAAGTCGAATTTTTCGGACAAGAGCTGGTGTGACATCTTCTTGAATTCTTGACAAAATTGGTGTCACTGGACTTAGTTGTAATGTTGATTTTTGTGTTAGTATTTCTTCTAGGAAAAAAAGCACCTATTAAACAACCACCTAATCCATTTAGTAATGAATTATCTGCAATTTTTGACATAGTTGATTGAGATTGACCATTTTTTCTAGTTTTTTCCATCTCAGTAGTTTCTTAACAGGTCTCTCAACTAATCACTAAAAAGAAATAAAATAGGACACTTTATATATGATAAAAAAGAAGGGTCAACTGAAAAAAAAATTCAAATATATAAAAACAAAGAAATCAAAGATATTTTCTTAATGATAAGCCTGTTTTATTTATTTATTATTATTTTTCATATAAGATGAGTGAATATATTCTAGAGTGGATGTATTTTCTTTAATATTTTACGCGCATGGATTTTACAGATATCTATTTTTAGCATGATGTGATATTATTTGCTAAGAGCTATACATTTGGTTTTTCAAAAGCAACACTATTGAGAGTATTGATAGTATTCATGAGTATACGCGTACTGCAGGGCCCCATTCAGGGGTAACACTCTTAACAGATTTTCTCCATATTCAAAGTCGGATTCGAGACCTTTAAGGGTGGAGTAGTCTCACAACCGCACCACAACCAATGTCGGTTCGACATGTATTACTCTCTTTTGTTGTACTTGTTTTGTATTTTACTGATTTATTTTTATTACATTGGGTATAAACATAATTTTACAACATATGGCTCTTTCTTAAGTTTTTCAAATTGAATTTCATAAAATTAGGCCTGCATGTTTGTTTGTAGGAAATGCTTTGGTCTGCCGGCTTGTCTCATCAAACCAACTACATAAATTCATTATTTTGCGATAATATAAGAAAAAGATAATATTTTAATACGCAATTTACATTAGTTGAATGACCATCTGAGCAGTAGATTCCTACTTTAAAGGTTGTATTTAAGAATATAGTTTGCATTTATAAAATAGCTGAAAACATAGCCATAACACAGACTTCATATATCATAACAGTTTATACTAATGTTTGAATGATCCATCAATGTATGCAACATCAACTACTTCACCTAAGTTGTTAAATTGTTACCATATAATAGTACTTTTTTATTTTACTAATACGGTTCGATGAAGCATAATTTGTAGAACCAATTCTTCTTTCATATTTAGAAAAAGTACGTTCAAATTCTAGATATTCTTTGCAAAAGGAAAAGTCAAATATAACTCTAACTCTAATATAAAAAATTCCAAATCAAAGTAGAAGATATTTGATTTTCATGACCAAACACCCTCATTTGAGACCTCCTTTCTAAATAGAAACTATGTGAGGTAAGATTAAAAGCTTTGTGTGTCCAACAAGAAATTATCAAGAAATATAAAAAATTCTACGTTTCAGCGGGCATTATATCAATAGGTTCTATTATTAATTACTCTAGTTGAGAAATTTATCTTAATTTATGCCTCGTAAAGCTAAAAACGCCACACTATGAAATAGAGGGATTAGCTCTTACAACTAGTTAAGCTAATCGTGACCACTTCTACTTGGTACATGTTTTTTTGGCTCATCCTCTCGAAGTTTTGATGGTCACTCAAATTTGAATAATTAATTATTATAATTATTTAATTTTATTTTCTTTTAAAAGTCATTCAATTTTATCAAATTAGCTTCTGTGATCATTAACTCTAGAAAAATAATTTTATGATATTAATTTTATTTTTTAATTAAAAAATCTTGTAATTGTCCATTAGATGGGTACTGAAAATTTTATTTATCGAAATAATGGCCATAAAAACTAAATTGGTTGAGTGACTTTTGGAAGCAAAAACAAAATAGAGAGAATAGAATGATTAATATTATCTATAGTTGAGTGATCATCTCCTTTTTATTTGATCCCTCTTAGAGTAAATATGGAGTTTGAGAAATCAAGTGAAAGCTTTCAAATCTCGTCATCTTAATAAAGATTAATATGGACCAAAACATATTTTAAATTTTTTAATCTTAAATATGTCACTTGATATAAAAAGTGATATTTTAAATAAAATAAAATAAAAATAAGAGTAAGAAACATAAATTAAAACAAAGAGAGTTATATTAATGTCATATATATATATACCTTGATACATTAGTTTCAATTAATGTATTTTCTTTTATTATTGTTTTCAAAAAAGAGTCACATTTAGATATATCAACAAATAAAATAATTTTTAGTTTTAAAATCCACATTTTACCCTAAGGGATAACTTTATACAAAAATGACATGGTTGATTAAAATTACTCAAAGATATTATTAATGTGGTATGCACATATTTTTCTTCCATTCATGTTTTCATGACACTTTTCTTGTTTTCATTTTTTCTTATTTTCACACTTACCCTTAAAGCTTCCTTCCAATGGAGACCCCACCCCCTAGCCCCCCCACCTCCCCTATGTAATTGTTTCATGTTTCTCTTTTGAGTTAGTGGAAAACATAAATTGATCCAAGCTTTATTGCCTTGTATGCCTCTCTTTTAGAACCCTTCTTGAAGCCTTTTACAACTCTTTTTCTCTCTTTCCTTTCATTCCAAAACCCTAATACAAGATCTTACAAGAAAACATATGAACCAACAATTGATACTCTCAAATCTCTACACTTTGAACAATAACCATCATGTTTGATTTTTTCTTTTTCTTTCTAATCAAACATGTGTGAAAAATAACCTATATACCTAGTGGTCCATGAATAAGAGGCAAAGGACAAGTTTGTTAAGTTAAACTCTTATTAATTTTTGTAGATCTTTCAAGATATAAGGTAGGTGTAAAATTTTCCCTTTTTCATATTCCTTTTCTTGATCAATCTCTTTTTAAGAATTCCCATTTTTTTCTTCTTTTCTTTCACCAAACTAATTATTTTCAACTTTTTTTTTCTTCCTAAAGGAGACAATGGATTCTTGTAATAGTGGTAGTGTACAATCTTCAAGTGGTGATGATCAAGAATATGATTCACATCATGGTACATCACCAATCTCAACTTTCTTGAATTCTTCAAACCATTTTGGTTCAATCTCATCAAGTGATCATCCATTATTACCACAATTTCATTCTCAACAACCCTCTCTCTTTAATCCTCATCATGACACACAAAATTTCAACTCCAATTTCCATGATTCAACAAATGTTCCATACAACAATGATCTTGTTTGGCCTAAAGACATTACAAGACCTAATCATCACCCTAACATTAATAATTTCAACAACTTTGCAAACCTAACATCCACAATATCACCAAATCTTGCTCCTCCTCCTCATCATCATCATCACCAAGCTCCATACTATGATTCTACTACAATACCAATAAACCCTTCCATTGTTCAACCTAATATGGGAAAAAATCCAAGAAAAAGAAGTAGGGCATCGAGGCGTGCCCCAACAACTGTCCTCACCACAGACACTACAAATTTTAGACAAATGGTTCAAGAATTTACTGGGATCCCAACAACTCCATTTACAGGTTCAGCCTACACTCGACGCTTTGATCTTTTCTCAACTGCTAGCTCAGCCATGAAAAGATCAACTCATATGGATAATATGGGACCTCTTAATTATACTCTTAGGCCATCAACACAAAAGGTTCAAAATTCTCAATTTATGCCACAATCTTTGAGTTCTAGTATTAATCATGATACATTAATAATGCCAACAAGTAATAGCATAGTTGGCACTACAAATGCTTCCACATTTGATCAAATTAATAAGTCATTTACTAGTACAATTCCTTCTCATTTGGTTGAAATGGGGATGAACCATCATGAGCACATTAGTGCAAATCTTGGTGGATTTGATCAATGTGGGACATTTGGTGGAGATCAAGAACAATCAAGAAAAGATAGGAATATTTCAAGATTATTGTTTGATGGGAATATATAGTGGTAGTACTAATTATTCACAACATTCATGTTGATGGATATTTATATTTATTGATGAATTGTTCAAGCTTCTTTAAACATGAGAATTCAATCATCTTTAGATGATTTGATTGACCCTAATTAATTAGTTTTTTAGTCTTAGATTAATGTTATGGACTAATGTTTACTATGATCAAGTATGTGGAGAATTCATTGATGACTTTGTTCATCTTGGTTATTTGTTTGATATGGTTTATTTTGTTTAATTATATAACACATGTTAGTATGACATAGATTTTACTAGGAGTACTTCTTTTACAGAATTTTAGGGTGCTACTATATGTCGATAATAGTTATTTCGAATATCGTCTATTATTCGAAAGAAAAGAAGTATTATTTTCATCAAAATATTTGTATATAATGTAGATACATACTATATGAAAGTTGGAATGCGGGAGTGGGGAGTGTGTTGTAGTAGGGATGGGACTATGGGGGTGGCCAGGGTGAAGAGAAGGTGTGTTAGAGAGTGGGAATGACGCAATTAATGTGAAATTTAATTTGTAGAATTCATTTTTTCTACATCACTAGAAAAGTCATTTTTCGAACCTATTTTCAAATTCTTTTATTAACTTAATAAAAATTAAAAAAAATATTTTTGTTCTAAAAAAAACTTGCACTATATCATCATTTTCTTAGCTTGTTCTTGCTATCATCATTGTGGTCATTGCTTTTAAATTGTGGAGATGTCGTTATTGTTATGTTCCATTAATCATGAAACATATTTTGTCGTTTTATTGACCTCATAATGATGTTGAATTAACTCTTCAATTAAGAAATGTTTTTAATTCCTATAAAGGTGTCTAATAATCAATTACACTTCAATCAATACTCTAATTTGAAACATAATGGAGGAAGATATATCTCTATCAATTACACTTCACTATAGAATTTTGTTCAAAAACAAAATAAAACATACTAAAATTATTATTTTATTTATTAAAAAAACGTATCAAGTCAAACATAAAAAAAAAAAAATAGAGACAAAGAGAGTAGAAGATATTAGGAAATTTGAGTGGTTAAAATGAGTGTATCATAATTTCTAATTTCAAAATACCAATGATAGTGAAATCTTGGGGAATGGGAGGGGGCAAAAAAGCAAAGTAAAATTGATAGATATGATTAACCAATAGAATTATTATTTATTTATATATTTATTTATTTGTGGAGATTTAATTTATAGAACCTTTTGAAAGGATGGTGTGACATATGAAAACTCTCTATTGAATCATGGTGGCCCCTTTTACATAATAATAATAATAATAATAATAATAATAATAATAATAAATAATAATAATAATAATAATCAATTATGATGATTGTTTCTTATTCCCAAAAAAAAAAAATCTTAATCAAACTTGTCTCCTTTTGCCAAATCTTAGTTTAGATATATGTCCCTTGCTAAAAGAAAATTGAATTCTATGCCAAGATTTATATTTTAGAAAAATTGTTATAATTCATGTGATATAATTTAACTCATCAAATTTTGTTAAGTATAGCGTGTAAATATTATGTCATAACATTGTTTACAGTAACGAATATAGAATGTTGTTCATATATAGGTGCATGTGAACCAAAAAACCTATAAATTTTAGATATATCTCATTTTTATGTTATTGTGAATCATGGCAATTATTATTAAATGTATGTTAATACAAGATCGTTATTAATCATATAAATTTAAAATTTTAATTCCATCTCTTCTATACCTAAAATAAACAAAGGAGTAATACAATCTAGTCACTTGTAAAAATTGTTGTAAGCAAATGCTTACTAGTACTTATACAAAA